ACAGTCTCTTTTCTACCTCGGCATCTTCTATAATGAGTCCCGAGGACATTTGTTCAGAAAGAGCTGTTAGGCCACTAGGTCCCTCTCTTTCCCAGCCGGCGCCCCGCCCACCTCTCCCCTCACCCACAGAGGGAACAAGCACCTCGTTGTGCTCCAGACAGGCAATCATGATCTCCGACAAGATGACCACGCCGGTCCGCCCCACGCCAGCACTGCAGTGGACCAGCAACGGAGGGTTGGGGCTTTTGGGCTCACTCGTACTATTTGTGTGGCGTCGAACAGACTGGATCTCCTCCAGGTACGCTGTGAGACATCAGCGAAATTGGAAAATACAGAGGGATTAAGGCCTATCAAATTAACAGTTTTCAGATTACCTCCACTGACTGAGGAGACTCCAGGTACAGAGCACCGGGTGCCGATTAACCAGCCCCAGATGTTAACTGACAGTGTGACCGCGGGCAAGTCTCTGACTGCCCGGGCTTCCCTTTCCTCGTCTACAAAACAAAACAGAGGAGAAAGCCCCTAAGAGTCAGTTATGGCACCCTCTTTAAAATCTCTTCTGTGAAGCATCCCTTAAACACTTAAAATTTTTATTTTAAAACAAGCCCAAAGCTTATGTGGGACAAAAGAAAGGAAATGTTTCAGGAACCTAAGTCTTCCTCTCTGTGGCAGAGGCTGTGCTGGGAATGAAGATACTTACATAAAAATCCCTTGAGGTCCTCTGGACAGCCATGCTCGGGCCAGTCTGTGTACTGGAGGTGCCAAACTGTCCTCTCCTGCCCCGTGAGAAGGTGCTTCATCTTCAGGCCCGTGGTGGCGTAGCAGCCGGAGTCTGTGCGAAACCGGGTGGTGATCTTAAACCTGCCGTAGGTGACGGTGTTGTGCCTGGAGCCAAGGCGTGGCCAGTAGCGAAAGCTCTTCTCCCTCCCACCCTCCTGTGAAAGACAAGTCCGGTCAAAACACAAGATCCAGCAAAGGATGCCCTTTCACGGACAGCATGTCTGAAATTCAGAGCCCTACTCTGCCTTTTTCTCTAAAGGTCAGGATTCCACATGATCAACATTAACTGTTCTTCCGAGGCCAAGAAAATCAATTAAGAGAAATGAGTGCCTACCTCTTCTGCTGTCACCATTGCTATAATCGCAATTCCCTGTTCCCACACCATCTGCCAAAAATCCTGACAGGTGTTTTGTAGTGGCCCCTGAGTGGCAATATAATCCCATTCAATTCCACTGACAGAGACCTGAAATTAGAAAAGGTGTTAAAAAAATTATTATGTGTATAATACACATGTGTACATTTGTTCATGGTAATACTAAAAAAGAGAACTGAACTATTCAGCAGAAGAAAGAAAGGCTTTTTATCTTATTTTTTTTCCATTACGGACACCTTTATATATGTGTGCACTATGAATTCACATCGTATCTATGCGACCTGGGGCCATCTCCTTACCCTCTCCGAACCTCAGTTCTCACCTCTACAGTAAAAATACCACCTACCCTCAAGCTGTCTGGGTTGAGCGAGTCAATACGTGCGGTGCCTTGCACGTGGCAGGTCCTCAGTAAGTGGTTGTTACTGCTGTTAGGGTTCTTCTTCTTGCAAAAATGGCATCAACATCACTGCACCCCAAATTTCAAACACAATTTTCCCTCATGAAATACTAAACACACTAGAAAAAGCATCAGCAACTTAGCCAAAACCTAAGTTAAATGTCGGATTTCTAGGGAAGAAAAGAAAAATCTTCCTGCCTGAGGTAGTCTCACCACTGAACTGATGGTCAGGGTCACCCTCCATAACGATGCTAAGTTTCCACTTGAAATTTAACCTCCTTGAGAACAGTCCAGTGTAATAATTACAGGATGGGTCACCAGGGAATCTGGGTTAAATCTCGGCTCCCCTGCTAGTGAGTGACGACAGTAACCGCCCTGTGAGTGTAAACCCTGCCACCCGCGCCCCCATGGAGGGCTGCAGCTTGAGTCCCCCCCATCCTCCACTGGGCTCGCTGTGGGTGGTGCCAGTTCCCACCACAAACAGGAACCAGGGAGGAAGGGTCTGAAGGGGAGCCTAAGGGGGACATGTCGGAATTTCTTTATTTATTCAGCGATAAGTACACCAAGGTCCCACACCGGTAAGTGGTCAGTCCAGGAATTCTGAAGTCAGACTCTTTCCACTGCTCTCCAGGCTGCCTCTGAAGATGTGAAATAACACGACAGAACTGCATTATTCAACTCTTATCCACCCAGTCATGAGAGACGGGATAAGCTATCCCAAAGAAGTGCTCGGTTTTAAACAAATGACGTCCAGGTGCATAGACTCCTAAGGACCGTGAAGGGCTCGGCACTCACAGGCAGACAGCTGGCCCTCCAGTCTCAAGTGTGGAATGCTCTCAGTCAAACACCACTGGCAAACGAAGTAAAATGTGGGAAAGAAGAAAAATAACACCTGACCACAGACACTGACTCATTCACTATAAGGAAATTTCTTCTTCCCAAAATAATGACCTGAATCTCCAGCTGGCATGAACAGAGAGTATGATGATGGAGAAGACAGAGCATCTGGCTTTTCTCACCTTCCTGCTGTGAACCATCACTTCTCCCATTTTAATGGATATAACGTTACCACAGTTAAATTATACTGTTTCCAGGGGGAAAGCGGCAGTGCTTCTTTGAAGAATAAATGATTTTTGAAAATGATTAAGAGTGTAAAGGGGGAGGGTACAGCTCAGTGGCAGAGTGTGTGCTTACTTAGTACCTCCACTGAAAAAATAAAATAAAAAATAAATTAAAAAAAAGATTAAGAGACTATGCAAAGATGGCACCACCGTAAGGAAAAGCTTTGGTGAACACCATCAGAAAACCCAGACACTTCTGTCACGTAAAAACACATGTAGGTATGTGAAAAGGAAAAAGCAGCAATTCAGCTGCTCTTGAGAGCACTTAAGAGCTAGAAAGAGGTCTTCAGATTTAGAGGAACAAAGTTCTGAAGTCAGGCAAGTAAGTGGTCCTGGAGTCCTGGTAACAATGCCGGGGTGGGGGAGGGGAGTTCACCACGTGGAGGAACAAACGTGACACCGGCTCTGTTGGCAAACACTTTCTATCCAGCCCTGGCGTGTGTATTTCCCAGCTTATAATACATAGTTTATCAAGATGGTTCAAAACCAGGGTGCTTTTAGAATACAGACATGAATACAATTCTTACCATTCTTGTAATCTAAATGGAAACTTCCCAGCCTGGGTACCACTCTAAACACTCCCCTCACCTTAATATGCGATGCATTGATGTAGCCGGTATTGTTTTCTTTGGTTGGGACCAGCTCCACTCTGGCATCGTCATAGGGAAGGACATCTTGGAACCGATTTCTCTCCGCATTTTCAGGGAGTCGTGCTGTTGAGCACTCCCCATCAACTAGCCGTTTTTTAAGAATTCTTTCATATTCTGTGAATACCATCCCCTGTTCTAACCGCTGTTCCAGTATTTTACACTGAAAAACAGAATGTGGGGAATAATGTGAATATTGTCCCATGCCACAGCTGCATTTTGATTGTACATCTGAAATCTTATTTTCTGCTTCAAGTCTAACATTATCTAATATTGAAAATTCTAGATGAAATCACAGTTGAATTTAAAAAGCCAAAACAATAAAAGAACAAATGAAATAGCCTTATGGTGAGAAATACAATGCAAAGTTCTGTTATAATTAGCCTAAAACAATTCGTTGAATTCATTTCCTCTAAATCTACAGTCAATTCTGTGACCCCTTAAGAACAAAAAATTCTCCTGGAGAACAGTAAGTCCTAGAGTAGTATAACCAATTTCAACCTCTATGAATAAATGCTTCAATTTTATAGTATGATGTATAAAAAACTGAAAACAGTAGTCAATATTGGTACTATCTCCAGGGTCCAAGTGTAAGTTAATTTTTGCTTAGCATAATTCATGCCCATCTGATTTTGGTATAACAGAGTCTCATAGCAAATACATCTCGGTCACAAGGAAAGTTTTGAAAAATTCAGTAACTGTTCACTGTTGAGATAAGTTTTCTACATAATGCAAGGAGTCGATGTCTGCCTTCTCTCCTGTGTGTGTGTGCATGCTCATCTGTGTTTGCAGATTTCCTCCAACTTTCAGGCCATCAAAAATCAAGCCTGCCATAGACAGCCAGAAGAAGGTCAAGAACAACATTCAGAAACAAACAGACCAAAGTCATCATTTAGTCTGAAATTATCTATGAAGATGTTAGCTAGAAATTCACCCCCACTCTGAAGTCCAGATTACAAAAGTGCTGACACTCATCTGTGATTATCAAATGTGTCAGAAATTCAGTAAAAGCCCCAGAAGGTAGCTGTGCATCACTGCGCCCAGGCCTGGCTCTGGCACGTACCCTCTCGTCGTTCGTGGCTCTGGCAGGCATGTCCTTCCCTTCATCAGGCAGAGGTAGCCGGGACAAGGAGAGTCCATTTAGGGCAGCCAGCTTGAGAGGACCCACTTTTTTTGCATCTACTCGGCTCTTTTTCATTCCCTATAAAAATATTTATAGAGATAGATTAAATATACATAAACACAATCCCTCTGAAAAGAAATTTCAATCGACTGACGACAGGAAACAAAGAGAGGGAGGCCTCTCCTAAACCAGTCACCACAGGAGAGATACTTCTTCACACACACACACATACACACGCACAGTTGTTTAATATTAGGAGGAAGACATTCCTTTTAAGGCCAAAGCCCTGATAAATCTTCCAGATACAAGGTTGTGAAATGCAACTGGTTTCAGGGCTCCGCTGTAATGAAGGGTGAGGCTCCCAGCAGACAGCATTCTTTCACGGAACTCCCAAACATCAAACCACGACACACACAAAACCATGAGCTGCAGTCCACAGAAAGGGTTTAAAAGTGGTCACCTGATAGTAATAAGCTTTTATAATTTTTTAAAAGTACAAATTATTTAAATCATTCTGAAAAAATTGTTTTCTGTGGTGGCTCTATTCCCTTGCAGACTTGTGTGACCTGGGTTAGATCGCCGCACCTCTCAGAACCACACATTTTCAAATGAGGAAAACAGCAGGGCTGAAATCTCCATCACTACACCAGGAGGAGAGGGGATAAGACGGCATCGTCAGAACCCTGCCTCGGAAAACTGGTGTTTCCTAAGTTGTTACTAAAGCCAATGATTTTCCCCCCTAAGGCAAACAAGCCCAAGAATGCCAAGTCTCCCTCCACAGTCTACACCTCCTTGGAAGCTATAATAATTATAATGACCTATTATAATTATAAGCATTTATAATAATTATAAATGGTTTTCTCAGTTCTGTCTCATAAATGAAATCAACTTTACTCCAGCTTTTTCAGCCTGGGAGGGAGAGAGAGAGGCACAGAGACTAAAAGATTCATGATTCTCATGTGTGCACAAAACTGGTGAATGTTTAACACTGGGCTTTGCGGCAGGGAGGCGAGGAGTTGTGTGAAGTTTGCCAGATTCTGCCGTGCAAACAGTCTCACCACGGCTAACTTTCATCTGCCCATTTATTATCAACCAGCTCACGAGACACTGAAAATTGAACAGTCAGCTCCTGCCAGCCAGTAGAGGTGGCCCCAGCACTTCCTGGCCTAAAAATGACTCACGATGCCCCAGCAAAGAAATGCTGGATGAAGCTGACTGGTTGTTAAGGTCAGTTCTAAAGGTACTTAAAGAAAGGGGCATAGTGTCAAAACTCACTTCAAATACCCCTTATTTAGCCCTTAGCGTGCAAAGACATGGTCTTAAATGTACAACTCGTACAATGATTTCTTCAGTGAGAACCACCACACAAGACTAAGGGTGAAACAAAAACTCTTTATGTAGACAGACAAGCACTCAAACCAGTCCACCTTTTTCAGATAGCAATCAAGTCCCTGGAGGTGGAATGGGTGGAGAATTCTTAAATGTTCCTGCTTATCTGTAATTTATTTCACTGTTTTAGTATGAAACCTCTAAAACCATAATTCACATTAGTATAATCGCTGGCTGTAACAATTAAAACAATGGCCTCCAAGTTACTCTGAAGGGGGCCAGAAGGTTTAGCATGGGGTTGGGCTCTTCATCTCTTGGGAAGTCAGTCAGCTAAATGTATGATGCAATCTCACAGTAATAAGTTAAACTTGACTAAGCACTTTCTACGTGCCAGGATCTCACTTGATTCCCCCAGCAACTCTCTGCGGTCATCTCATTTACAAATGAGAAGACCAGTCAGAGAGTAAGTAGTTGGCCCAAAGTCACACAGCTGCCTCTTTATACACAGTAATCGGGGTTAAAACAATAAAAACTTTGCATTAAAATCAGTTATGCAGTATCATAGAATTCAGAAAGCACCTTTTACGCCTGACCTTATGTGGGACCTAACACAGTGCCACAGTAGGCAGAGGAGGGGTGACCATCCCGTGGTACAGATGGAGAAGCTGAGGTTCTGGTGCGTGAAGGACCCAGCCCACTGGCAGAGAACGAATGGATGGCAGTGCTGAGACTCAGACCCAGGTTTCCCCAGGCCAGAGCCGCCACTCACAGTCTTCAAGTAAGGAGATCCCTTATGCCAAAAGAGGGGCAGCAGCATGGTCCAATCACATAACCTAATACTGTAGGTCTTAAAGGTCAATGAAGGAGACATTTTGTATTTTTAGAGAACCAGACTGATCAAAGTCCTCAGATCTAGCAGAACTTGCTAGGCCCATTCAAAACTACAGGGACAACAGGCTTGAACACTAAACTCTACTCAAAGCAAGTATCATCTGGGGAAGAGACCCAGGTCACATAAAAACGATGGACAGTTCTTGCTGTAATTAGGGAAGAGTGTTAACAATGAGAGGGTCCCGCCAGCTAGCTCAGGACAGAGTTACTTTGGAAGACACACCTACATCTTGTCCCCAGCCTGAATCATTGATTGTGAGCCCATCCCCTCCGCTGCAGCGGACCTGAGACATTGGCCTTCACTCTTCAGGCAGATGAGTAAGAGTGTATTCCCAAGAAAAATTAAAAATAAACTTACAATTCAAATCCATTAGAAGAAAATACATTTAAATCCATGGCACTGCTGTATGTAGTTTTACTCTACCTGTACTGATCTATTTCAGAAGCACTATGATACTGTGTGACTTTTTCTCCTGCTTATGAAGATGTTTACAGCATCCTAGAGGAGCTACACTGGGCCAGAACCACACTTTCCATGGGCCCTCAAGTCTGGATATGCCGACCAGCAGAGATGGGGGAGGAGTCCTAGCTGCCGGGTCCCTGGGAGCAGCGCGGGACAGAATGGATAGGCTACTTAACCGCTTTCGCTTGGCCGGAGCCCAGAACACAGGGAATGGAGGCCTGGACAAGGAGGAGCCGGACTCCAGAGGGGTGCAGCAAGAGGACTCAGAGTGGGCACGGTGACATGGCAAGGCCCAAACGCCGGGGCAAAGCTGAGGGACCCAAAGTTCAAGGGCTTCCGTGGAAAGACACAACAGCAAAGCTCAGACAAGCAATTATTACTTAATAAAATATACCTTAATGTGGAACAGTGTAGAAGACAGGAGAACAGGTTGCAGAGATAAATATGGGTTTAAAATTCCAGTTCAGTCACTCACTAGCTGTGTGACCTTGGAAAAGTTACTTACTATCTCAGAGTCTATTTCCTCATCTGTAGGAACAATAAGCCTGTTGTAAACTGTACGTGGTAAAGCAGACAGCGTGCTCAGTAAACGCCCTGGGAATGGCAGCTAGAGATGATGCTAAGCTCTACATTTTGCTTCAAGTAGGTAGGAAGTGCTTAAATCATGGTTATTTATCATGCTGAATGTTAAGGAGCTGCATTTTCTACAAGGGGCCTTCCCCAGGTTCTCAGTTCACTTAATCTCTCTTTTAAACAGACCTGCAGCTCTCGGGTTTTGTGTCTTGGTGACGTGCTCCCTTCCCAGCTCCAGAATCACTCTCCAGCCTTCAGCGATCACAGCCGAGCATCCAGGCTGCACCCGCAGGGACTGCAACTAAGGAACACACTAGGGACACTTCCAGCATGTGTCCCTCAGACCTCACAGGAGCAACTGAGCAAGAGCAGCCCTGGGCCCTACACCCCCACAGCAGGGTACTTCCACGAGTGGCTTACAAAGCAATCTCGGCTGAAATCATGAAATCTTAACTTCCTTTTCCCTAATGTTGCATTATTAAAACATCCCATGTGCCCTTTCTGGTCCTTTCCACATAGCCTCTTAGGTTTACCTTCTGCTTCATCTAAGTTATTCATTTCTAGCAAAACCACCAGAATCTGAATCAGTCCCCATTATTTCCAGAGATAATCAAACTCAAAAGTGTTCCAAAATAAGACAAAAATAGGGTAAAATGTGTATGGAGGGGGGTGGAAAAAGTTAAAAGAAAAAAAAGCTGAACAACATCAGAAGTGATGAGTCAAAGAAAAGACGGCTAGAGCGCAGAAGGCGGTGAGGAAAGCCAGGTGTAAAGGGCACTATTCTCGGTCGGGTGAGGGCCCCTGGCACCCTGGACGGCTCACCCCTAACGGCGGAAGTCCTTCCACGATGTTCTTCTTTCCCGAGAGGAGATCTGACACCGGCCTTTTCTTCAGAGAGTCCCTCCTGGCGCGGTACCTCCCGGACGTGGTGAGGTCGGACTCGGACATGGACGGTGTCAGCAGCCCGTCCCTCCTGGGCCGCTGGGCCTCAGCCAGCATGTGAATCGGGCTGCCGTCCCTCCCCCTCTTCTCCGCCTCCGTGACGTGGGACTTGGGCTCGAGGATGTGCAGAGGGCCGGCCCCCGGGGAGACGGAGGCGCAGGGGCAGCCGAGCTGTGCTTCCTGGGAGTAGCTGCCCCGGGACTCCCGCGCGTGGGGAGAGAGCTGCGCCCCGGCTCCGGGTTCCTCTTCAAAGTCCTCCTCCTCCTCGCTGCTGTGTATCAGCATGGTGGCGTCTGAAAGAGACTTTCTGTGACCGTATCTCAGGCTTTCCTGCTCGTCCGCCTCGTCTCGCTTCATTCTCTCCAGGACGACGTTTGGCTGGGAGCCCGCCAACACAGCCCGCGGCGCCACATCCGCCGCCGAAGCCGACATGGTCCTCTCCTTCAGCCTCATACCTTCAAAGCTGTGCGTCAGCCCCGCGATCTCGATGCTGTTCCTCTTCTGCAGCTGGGCGTGCCGCGCCGCCGTGAGGGGCTCGCTGACCTCCTGCAGGGAATGGGCCACCGGCAGGCTGTCCTCCTGGAACGTCTGCACCGAGTGGTGGACGCGCCTGGTGATGAGATCCGGGTTGCTGCTGCTGATGTACAGGTGGCGGGACAGGTCGGGGGTGCTGTTGGCGGGCCTCGGGTAGGGGTAGGGGGGCGGCGGGCGGTACACCTGCGTTCTCATGATGTTCGGCGCTGGGTAGTCCTGGGCCTGGAGCTGCACGTTGGTCAGCTCGGGCACGCTGACGGCGCCCACCACCGGCCGCCTCTCTGCGGGGTAGGGGTAGGGGCACTGGCTGTGGAAACTGTAGTTGAGATTGAACGGGTAGTGGGCCGACTGGGGAGACATAAAGTGGGCGTGCTCCCGAATTTCAGGCTGGCTGTAGACCAGGGCATCCGGCCTGCTGTAGGCGTACGAGCTGCCGATGTTGAGGTTCCGCAGCGAGCGGCTGTGCCTCTCGGCAGGCGCCGCGCCCCGGTGCAGCTGCTTCATCACCGTCTCGTAGTCCGGGGTCGGGCGGTAGGACGGCGGGATCAGGGCGCTGTGCCGGTGCGACGGCACGTAGTCCGGCCTCATGACGTCGCTCCCGGTGATACTTGGGTTCGAGGACATGGGCGACGGCTGCAAGTAGGGCTGAGGGTTATTTAAGGAGCTGGTGCTGTGTGCGCTGTAGACGCTGCCATTCCGGATGCGACCACTAAGGTCAACCTGGGCGCGATCCAGACTTGTCTGAGAGTGGCAGTAGTATCCGTTCTGGTTGGTCACAAAGAGGTTGTCTGGGGGGGAAACATTTAAAATGCATTTTAAAATGAGATTTGTTAGATGTATTAAATTGGACCAATTACTCTATAGACAAATATTGAGCAGGCCCCAGGCGCTGATGACATTCTCAACATAGCTGATGAAACTCCAAGCTGCAATGACTCGGCTTTACCTACACCACTCTGAACAACCCTGGGCACATCCTTTCTGGGAACCCTGGCCTTCTTGTCTATAGAAGGGGATGGCTTTGCCTACGCTAAGGGCGGTGTTCAAGATTTGATACCCAGTAAAGATGAGTCAAATTTAAGTCCAATATTAAGAGTACAATTGTACCACAAAATATTGTCTTTTTCTGAAAGTCAAAAACATGTGCTTCACTAGAGACACAAAGCAGACTTTCTGGAACAACAGGGAGCTACAGGCAGAGACACGTGTTTAAGGAATTGGGTCTCTGACTTGGCCTTCCCTCCCTCCTGGGGATGCAGCTGGGCTGATGCTGAGCTAGTTCAAGCACCAACTGTCTGTATACATTTTCCTTAAATGAAACTCTAGGTTGGTCGTATAGGTTCTTCCAAATGAAGATAAAAGAGCGATAGTTCAGCCGGATTTGAGCCTATGCAGGCCCAGTAGGGTCACCAGTAGCTCTAGACCTCACTAGGGGCCAGGAGCCAAGAAGACCATGCTAAGACAGCCACGCCTGCTCCTGCTCCGGCCCCCACACCTCAGTAAGACGGGGGGTCCACAGCTAGCAGAATCGGGAGCCTAATCTAACCCGCAGTGGTTGTGTGTGTGCCCCTGCTCCGGGCTGGAGGGAGGCACGTTTCTTCTGTCCAATCTGCAGTTCACCTGAAAAATTAATGAGGGTGATTTCTAACGCTTCAATGGAAAGCAGCCGTCAAGATCATCAGAGAATTGCTGTTGAAAAGCATTCTTTTTGTGATTCAAAAGCCCCATGATGGTTTAAGTGACAACTGATTATCGAAGTTAATATACCACAGTCTCATGTGTGGACTTCACTCTCGTGGCACACACCGCCACAAAGAGGGAGGCCTCCAGTGCATCACTGTGTTCCTCCTGTGGGGACACGATGCTTCCTCGTCCCCATCCATTTCTTGTGTCCGGAACACTCTGCAATCTCCGAGTCTATGGAGCCCCCTCTCCTCACTGCTGTCACAGCTCAGCCTTACTCAAGCCCGTCTTGACTAGCATTATACCCGCCTACCTGGCCTCCCTGCCTCCAGGCTTCTCTGTGCGTCCCGCAGACCATCCATCTGTGAGCCTGCTTGTGTAAAAGACCATGCTGAGAACTAACGGAGGGTGGGGAGGATGACTGGAATCCGGACAAATAAAAAGGGAAAGGTATGTACCCTAATACCATAATCCAAAGAAGCTGTTCCCACTGAAGGAGGTAAGTGTTACAGGAGTCCGGAGGAGGGAAGGATCACTTCCAGTTTGGGCTCAGCCGAGAGGGACAGGGAGGAGAAGACCAAGAACCACCTCGCAGAAGACAGGGCACCAGGGGGCTGCGCCAGGAGGGGTGGGTGGGAGGGGCTCCATCAGCCAGCCGCCGGGCTCTCGGCCTCTGAGTGCACACTGGATAAGCCTCCTCAGCTCCGGAAGGCAGGCGCAGCCATGGGACCGGTAACAATCAAGGGAAAGTGAGCAGAGGTACAGAACCAATTTCTCTACTCCCTTCTCCCTGCCACCCTGACCAACATTTCACATGGAAAGGGTTCCAAGCCCAAGCCCCTGAGGCAGGCTGACGTGGAGCAGAGCCCTCCTGCCAGTACACAAAGGCAAGCTTCCCTGGGTAAGCCACTGAGAGTTTAGAATTGTTTGTTCATGCAGCACAGTCTCGCCCATCCTGACTGGGCGGAAGCGTGTGGGCAGGAGGGTGACTGGGTAAGCACACCGGGGGTGACAGAGCTGTGCAGGCAAAGCCGGGAGACTCCACATACAGGGTACACTCGGTCTGGCTAGGGGTCCAGGTAGCTAGAGAGGAGTGCAGAACATCAGGGAATGAGACTGGAAAAGTAGCATAGTGTACATCGCAGAGAATGCTGACCACCAGACAAAGGAACACTCAATCAAGGAGGTGGGATGAGATGAGACTGGCCACTGAATGGGGCACCAGGGAGAGTGGGGACTGAGGACACCAGCACCTGTGATGCAATAACTAATGAGAGGTTTAAAAAAAAAAAGAAGGAACTAGATAAGATCTGGAGCAGAGGGACAAGGAGAAGGGGATACAGGAGAGAGTTACATGAAATTAATTAGAGGCAATAGGATTTGTAGCTGTCTGGGTGCTGAGGGCAAAAAGAGAAGAAAGTCACACGTAGTTTGGAATCCAAGTAATCAGCAACAGTGTTTTCATTGTAAAGAAGCAAGGAATGTGGGAAAAGGCACTGGCTTCTAGAATAGAGTGATGAACGCAAGTGCAGTATGCTGGTTTTCAGCAACCTGTAGTAGCTGATAATATTTACTGAGTGCTTGCCACCCGGTCAGGTACCCGGCTGGCGGCTCACATGCAGCAGCTTCCTTAACTGCCCCGACAACCATCAGGGAGACGAAATGTGGGGCTGGAGCACAGAAGTGATGATGGGGTGAGCAATACAGAAGTGACAGTCATCCTCTGAAATCTGAGGCGTGGATGAGACGGCTGTGGAAGCCTGCAGAGGAAGTGGGGGGCCACGGGCAGACCTTCAGAGATGGTGCAGGGGGAGGGAGAACCCCGTGCACTGAAGAGAGAGGTTTTTCAAAAGGGCAGAATGCTGGAATCCGATGGTAAGGAGGATGTGCAGGGCACCGGGGATCTGTGGGAGGGCAGCTGGACCAGGGTAGCAAAGGTGGGAGGAGTAAACAGCTAACCAACAAACAGAAGCAGCACAAAGGTGTGACTCTCAGAAGTGCGGTGAAAAATGAAAGGAAAAAATAACTCAAACTGCAGTCTGGAGAGAGAGGAGAGGAAAAAATATGAGGATGCTTGCAGATCGGGGAAAGGGATAAACAGCAAGGAAACAGTAACAACACAGAGAGAAGAGCCTTTTCCCAGAAGTGGGAGGGGCTGGGGCTGAAAAATCAGACAGGGGAGCATGTAAGGAAGATGGTGAAGAAGGTAAAAAAACATCCTGACATGGACATTCTTGGAATCCACACCCAAATCCATCCCCTCCTGCCCACCTCACTACACTGCATGGCATGTCCCATCTTACACAGGAGGCCTGGCACCAACAGTGCATCATCACCCACCCTCTGGTCCCTTCAGGCACCATGTCCTCCCAGTTCCCTGGGGGAGTGAGTCCAAACACCCTCTTCCTTGTTCTGTGCCGTGGCTTTCACTATCCCCCCACAAAACCAGGAGCAGCGGTCCCAATCAGGGACCTGCTTCTCTCTCTACCTGTTCAAATGCACCCATCTTTTGAGATCCAAAAAGTCTTTCTCAATCTCTCAAATATGAGGAGAGTCTTTCTTCCATTCAACAGCACAGGAATTGCTTGCTCTGTCTCATTACAACCATCGTGGTCTCTTTGTATTTAAGTTATTTGTGCACTTGTCTCATCCCCCACCACTAGATTCTAAGCTTCTTAAGATGTGGAATTACTTCTCTGCATAAATCTCCTCAGCCTTTATACCAGAGCTTTGTAGACAGAGAGTAAAGGTCTGTACTTTGGAGGCGCTGTCTTAAATACAGCTCCCTATACTCATTATGTGAAAAATAAACAAAAATAAGTAAAAATAAAATGTTTAAATTTTACAGGTGGGAGAAAAACAAAATGAGCCTGGGACATCCTGTGCTGGAAAGCAAGGAAGCGCTCAAGACTCCGGGGGCATGTTAACAAGACAAAGGAGCCAGCTTGAAGGAGCGCCCATGGGCCAAATCTGGGACCATCTAAGCATCAAAATCTGATGCTGCATGTTTTCTATCCATGTCCAAAAAACTGACTTTAATAGCAGCTTCTTCTATGAATCTAGGACGGCTATAATCATGGCCATGGTTTCGGATGTAACTTCGGCCAAAAATTAACCTGGCTTTAAGATCTCCAAGTCTTTGTAATTTATTCAAATTATAATACTTTTGTAAGGCATTTCAGAAATAGTGTACTTTACCTTGGGAAGAAGTGTATGGTTCTGTATAATGTCCATTATAATGCAGCTGGGGTGGGGGAGGCATCACATAGGGCTGGGGTTTAGGCTTTAAAGAAATGGAAAGTTGGAAATAGGGTTAAAATGCATTGCCTATGTAATACATCTAAAGTAATTCTCTGCTGGTTTCTTTCTCTCCATTAAAACCCTTCTAAAGGAGCCAAACATATTACATACGAAAAAATAAATATGAACACCCCATAGCTCTTACCATATCTGTCTTTTCATTGTTTCCCAGAATGGCAATGCCAGGCCCTGTGCACTGATATCAGACATCAGACAGCACAAGAAAACAAGCTGTATCCAAAATGTTAAGAGCAAGAAGGAACAGACACAAATCCCCTGAATTCTTTTATAAACAACTGAATATAAGAAGCTTATACGTAGTATATTTAATCATCTAGTATTTTAAATATCTACTAACTTCTGACTACTCTTGGTTAATAGTCAATATTTTTAATATTAGGTTGGACCCAACATTTAAATATGTACAATATAATAAATATTATATATATTACATAAATATTAGGCTTAACCTATGGAAAATTCACCATGTCATTGGTCAAATATCAGCACACCTTTGTGGCTCAAACTAAAAATTAACACTGACAAAAGCATACGTTTTTAAGGAAGATGATGTCACTAAAAGAAAAAAAGCAATTGTATGTTTCCTTCTTTCTTACCAGAGACATCCTTGAAGAAGACCTCCTCCTAATTGGGTTCACTATGACGGTCTGAGTTTGCCTACAAAATAAGACATGTCTTTGAGAAGAGCATATATGTATATGCTCATATACACATAATTTCCTCATGCTATCAAAATAAGTTAGTAAGAAGGTAAAATGATAAATCTTGTCAAGCAAAAAAAGACAAACTCATCCAACTGTAAATTAGAGAAAAGAAAGGAGATCCCCTGTCCTTACTCGGGCCCTGGCCCCTTCCTGCTGCCCAGGTTCCTCTGACCGCACGCCAGGGTTTGAGCTCCTCAGGGAGCATCCGTCACCGAGACCACCAGAGGGTGGGCAGGAGTAACTTCCCTGGGTCCCCCCAGGTGGAACCTCTCTGGAGGGATCATAAGCAGAGGCCAGGCTAGAGGACCCACAAACACATCCCAAGGGCCTGGCTCAGCACTGACCGCCTCCATTAACAGTACTGAGGAGTGACCATCAGCTGCCAGCCTGAGCACCAGAAGCAACGGGAAGTGCCTTTAATTAAGAGCCTGCTAACCACAGACTACAAACACTAATGAAGAGATAAGTTTGTAACTTCAGAAACAACAATCTCTATTTCCTCAAAGGAACCAAGACAGGGAAAGTAAAACAGTAGAAAAATTGGTTCAGCGGGCCTGTGGTAAATCCATTTACCTTTCTTTACAAAAAAGTTCTCTGTCGTTTTAAGTGTACTTTTTAAAAAGCAATGAGAATCTTAAGGAGTGTGGGCTGACATTTACCAGATAACCTGAGATTTTAAGCTATTCACAACAAGTTCCATCTTTGAATAAAAGTAGGTCAAAAACAAGAAACAAAAAAGTCCTTTTGTAATTCTATCTTTTTAAAACAGAGGCAGGCATTTTTTTTGTTCTTGTGTGTGGTTAGTTTTATTGCAAATAAGATATAGGAACCTAAACCCATAGGATTTTTGGCTTTGTTGGTGACATGATTTTGTCAAAACACTTTTTGTTTGTTGTTTGTTTGTACTGAGGGAGAGGTAATTAGGTTTATTTCTTTCTTTATTTGTAATGGCAGTACTGGGGATTGAACCCAGGACTTTGTGCATGCTAAGCATATGCTCTACGACTGAACTATATACCCTCCCCCAACCTGTCAAAGCATTCTTAAAAAAACCTTTTACCATCTGTTCCTGGCTCATGAGCTTATGTGACACGTGATTACTGATTACAAAAATATTTTATGATCCTTGGTTACAGTGTTGTAGGGACTAATTACTAGAAAATTCATAATCACAAAGTGAACACTTGCTCTATTTAATCAGTAAATTTGCCATAATATCAAATCTCATGTCTCATAAATTAACACTATTCTTTGCACTCTAACAACTAATTTTTTATATTCAAACTCTAAATGTTAGCTCATTTTTACAGATTTTTGAGATTAAAGAAAATCACTGCTTATTAGGAACTTATCAGGCAGCTACAATTGCTTTTATGAGTTGACTTTTTTAAATTAAATGCTTTCTTTAACAATTTCTTTTTATTATCATTGGAATGTATTAAAATTGTTGATGAAGAAAAGATGTCTCTTTTCCAAAGGATGCTCATTCTGCCAGTAATTTTGTTACTCAACAATAATAAAATGGACGTTAATTCCATTAGATTGCAAAATACCTCTATCAATTGGCAAAGCATTATATTGGTAAAGGAGGAGGAGAACTCCTTAGAGAAGCAAATCAGGAGGGTATGCCTGAGCCTTTTTTTTTCAAACACTCCTTAACTACATATTAATACATTCCTATAATCAGTGTCCAGAATTTGAAGACACTGCATTCTGTAGCCTTGAAATTTACTTTCCCTTTGCTTAGACTCCATTGTCAGTGCTAGGTTTAGGCAAACTGGGTCCTTTGAAGTTTGTATTTAGTACAGAGACTCATGAAATTGACTGAAATTTTAAAGTACTATAAATTCAAAATTCAGAGAAAGGGAGAAAGGTTGCTGATAGAATCCTCCAACAACATGCCCAGAGTTGCCCATCCGGGAGCAAAAATAAACTTAAGTGTATTAAACACAGACTCTAAGGATGCAGAGCTTAGGAGCGTAGGTGGCAACTCCCACATGAGGGATCTATTTTGGCACCTTGCTGGTAGCACCCAGGATGGAGGTGACACTACCCCCGCAAAGGCAGCTTCTGCTAAACACAAACTAAAATGTCTCCCTCCTGCCAAACTGTCTGAAGTAGGCAGTCGCACCATCAGTTCTAATATTCTAACCTCCTCTTTCTTCTTGCCAACATTCTCGTAAATGCGGTTACTGTGAGATCAGCTATCCTAAACTTAGTACCCAAGACAGAATGGTGGAACTGTTGGTTGTGTTTTGGGGCAGTCACTATGCTGATTGGTGCTGCTAAAAATGAGACAGCTGAAGAACTTAGGAAGAAAAAAAAATTACTGGAATGTGTGTACTGGAGAAGCAAAATAAGAGAAGGCTACACGTGGTTACCTAATGGAATCCAAACTCCAGCCCCATGAGGGAGGCTGGTTATTACCCTGATTTTCCAGATGAGGAAACATACTTAGATGAAGTAAATTGCTCCTGCTCACATGGCAAATAAGCAGCAGAACTGGCATTTGAACCAGGCAGTCTGTCAGAGTCCTGAGCACGTGCTCCTCACAGCTGATTATTCGTCTGACCCCCCTCCCCAACATCAAAAGCTCTGCAAGCTCCACAAAGGCAAGAGGACACACCTGGTACCACTGGTGCCTGGCACACAAGGAGCACGTCAACTGTTTGTTCAACAATTAATGGAACAGTGACTGAGGCCTGAAGCTGATGCTCCCTGCTGAGCATCTAGCAGCCAAGTTCGTATTTCTAACAGCTGTCTGAACTTCGCTTTAGGAGCTTCCTTTCTTACATATTTATAGTTAGTGCAGAGGAGATTTTGTTGAACAGAAAGTTTGCTGGGTGGTGGGAATACCTAGAAAATGTTGGTCTCAATGACTTTCCTTTAATAGCACAGGGGTTGCTCCCTTCTTCCAGGCCTCCTAGTCTCTTCAGACACTGCAGTCGGCCTAGAATAAGTGGAGTAACCCTATCCCCTTCCAGGCAGGGCCCACTCCAATCTATCCCCCCCCCCCCGACCACAGAAGTCTGCAGAACAGAGGTGGCCACTGGCCGCTGTGTTCACCGACAGCCCCAAACTGCGGGGAACGCGCGCCAACCCTCTGACTGTGCTCAGCAAGTGGCCGCTGGTGGCTGAGTCTAACGTCCCTTTCCAGAGAAAGTCTACTGAAACTTCTACCACGTGCTTTTTAGGTTGGGGAATACCATCCTCCCCTTCCCCTCCCCTTCCCCTCTCCTTCCCCACAAAGAGGAGACAGAAAAGCCTCCTATACCAACACCCTTCTCAAGACTCTCCCAGGCTTTTCTCATTTAATTCAAGAGGCTGACTGTAGTTCTGGGGCTCGGCCTTGGGGGAGGGGGAGGGGAGTCATTTGACCTAAGAAACTGACATCTCTTAACTTCTATCCCAACCCTAAAGAAATGTTTAGGGCCCAGTATCATTTCTAACATTTTTCAGGCTTGGGTGACACAAAAAGATGATTCTGTCACCTAAAGTACTTTGAAAGTGGAGAGAGGGGGCAAGACTGAAGATGGGTAATGCCAGCCTATAAATTCTAACAGTCATCTAGGCCAAGGTTAGAGGAATCATGAAAGGCCATCCCAAACAGCATTAGACTAGGTGTCAGGACTCAGGAGTGGGGAGGGGGACACTCAGGAGTAAAGTCCTCCTTTCTGCACAAGCAGAATCCATCTCCTGAGCCACCGGTTGCTGCAGCCCGAACTCGACGCCCAGGATTCGCCGTCCAGTCCCAGACCTGCTGTGGGCTCCTTACGTGCCCATCACACTTGAGTTTACCCATCTGGACCACGAGAACAAGTCTGCCAATAATTCAGAGTCATTATCATCGTAAATGTGACTAAACACAGCCTAGGTTGAGAGCCTTAAAAGAAATGACCATAAAAATTAAAGTTATTTTCAGTTTTATTATCCTTCAAAATATTAAAAGCTAAGAATTCATTTCCTTTATCTGAGGAACAAGTGGTATATTCACTTCCCATAGAATGAAATGAAGTGGGCACCTTCCATCATAAATATTACACGGGAATAATCCATAGAAATGGACTTCCATACTCACTAGAT